GAGGTCACGGGGCAGACCCAGCAGGTGCCACGGGTCGACTGACCGAGATGACCGAGATGACTGGCTGATGCATACACGTAGAGATACACACACGTAGAGATACACATGTACGCATAGCGATACTCAGACATACTCATAGCGATACCGCCATCACGCCCATTGAGACATTCGTGGTAGGGGCCTTACAAGTGAATGATGTATTATCAGACGGTGCAGCAGCAGCAGCAGAGCCAGCAGCGCCAGCAGCTTGAGGAGCGCCTGGAGGAGCGCCTGCAGCTGCTGGCGCAAGCGCAGGCCTTGGCCCTGGCGGCGCCCGGCTCCCCGGCTCCGTCACAATCCTCCTCCTCATCGTCGTCGTCCGCCTCCTCCTCCTCATCGCGGCTGCCCCCCCGCTCCCCGGGGGGGGGAGAGCGGCGCCCCACCGACTCACCCCGGCACCGCTTGAGCCGCTCCTCGGGGGTGCGGCGCCCTGCGTGACCCCCCCCCCCCACGTGCCCCCCCCACGTGACCCCCCCCGCGTGCCCCCCCCGCGTGACCCCCCCGCGTGACCCTCCCGCGTGACCCCCCCGCGTGACCCCCCCGCGTGACCCCCCCGCGTGACCCCCCCGCGTGACCCCCCCGCGTGACACCCGACCCCCCCACCCCCGCGTGACTCCCTGTCCGCACTTCCTCACTGCCATGCTGCTGCTGCTGCCTTCTGTGTGTGTGGGCGTGTGGTGCTGCACCCTGCGTGTGCGTATGGGGACCCGTGTGTGTGGTGCTGACCCGTGTGTGCGTGTGTGTGCGTGCGTGTGTGTGTGGTGCTCACCCGTGTGTGCGTGTGTGTGTGTGGTGCTGACCCGTGTTGTGTGGTGCTCACCCGTGTGTGTGCGTGCGTGTGTGTGTGATGCTGACCCGTGTGTGCGTGTGTGTGCGTGCGTGTGTGTGTGTGGTGCTGACCCGTGTGTGCGTGTGTGCGTGTGTGTGCGTGCGTGCATGTGTGTGCGTGTGTGCGTGTGTGCGCGTGCGTGTGTGTGTGTGTGCGTGCGTGTGTGTGTGGTGCTGACCCGTGTGTGTGTGCGTGTGTGTGTGCGTGCGTGTGTCTGCATCTGCGTGTGTGTGCGTGTGTGTGCGTGCGTGTGTGCATGTGTGTGTGGTGCTGACCCGTGTGTGCGTGCGTGTGTGTGTGGTGCTGACCCGTGTGTGCGTGTGTGTGTGTGCGTGTGCGTGCGTGTGCGTGCGTGTGTGCATGTGTGTGTGGTGCTGACCCGTGTGTGCGTGCGTGTGTGTGTGGTGCTGACCCGTGTGTGCGTGTGTGTGTGTGCGTGTGCGTGCGTGTGTGCATGTGTGTGTGGTGCTGACCCGTGTGTGCGTGTGTGCTGCAGTCGGGACGCCTGCGTCACTCTGGCGGTGCCACGGCCCCCGGCGCCGTCGCGGAGGGGAGCGCCGGCGATCGCGGCGACGACGGTGAGGGCGACGCCACCACTCGCGGTCGGTCGCCGTGTGGTGTGGTGTGTTGCGGTGCCGTGGCGGTGTGGTGCTTAGAGTTGTGATGTGTCGTGATGTGTTGTGGTGGTGTGGTGCTTAGAGTTGTGATGTGTCGTGGTGGTGTGGCGGTGTGGTGCGTAGAGTTGTGATGTGTTGTGGTGGTGTGGTGGTGTGGTGCGTAGAGTTGTGATGTGTTGTGGTGGTGTGATGGTGTGGTGCGTAGAGTTGTGATGTGTTGTGGTGGTGTGGTGGTGTGGTGCGTAGAGTTGTGATGTGTTGTGGTGATGTGGTGGTGTGGTGCGTAGAGTTATGATGTGTTGTGGTGGTGTGGTGGTGTGGTGCGTAGAGTTGTGATGTGTTGTGGTAGTGTGGTGGTGTGGTGCGTAGAGTTGTGATGTGTTGTGGTGGTGTGGTGGTGTGGTGCGTAGAGTTGTGATGTGTTGTGGTGGTGTGGTGGTGTGGTGCGTAGAGTTGTGATGTGTTGTGGTGGTGTGGCGGTGTGGTGCTTAGTGTTGTGATGTGCCGTGGTGTGTCGTGGTGTATGTTATGCGGTGCATGGAGGTATGACGCAGGGATGGTGGTGTGTTGCGCTGTGCTGTGCCGCCCCCCCATGCTGCACTGCCACCTGCTGCTACTGCTGCTACTGCTGCTGCTGCAACTTCTGCTACTACTGCTGCTGCTGCTACTGCTGCTACTGCTGCTACTGTTGCTACTACTGTTACTACTACTGCTGCTACTGTTGCTACGGTTGCTACTACTGCTGCTACTACTACTGCTGCTACTACTACTGCTGCTACTGCTGCTACTACTGTTGCTACTACTACTACTGCTGCTACTGCTGCTACTACTACTGCTGCTACTACTACTGCTGCTACTGCTGCTACTACTGTTGCTACTGCTGCTACTACTGCTACTACTACTGCTACTACTGCTGCTGCTACTACAAATGCTCCTGCTGCTACTACTGCTGCTGCTGCTGCTACTACTGCTACTGCTGCTACTGTTGCTACTGTTGCTACTACTACTACTGCTGCTACTGTTGCTACTACTGTTACTGCTACTGCTGCTGCCGCTCCCCAGACGAGGAGGCGGGCGAGGAGGAGGAGGAGGAGACGCGTGTGGGCAGCATCTCGTTCTACCCGCGCCACGTGCTGGGCCACGGCGCCGAGGGCACCATCGTCTACAGGTGGGGCGCCGTCGTCACAACAGCCATCGTCACAACAGCCATCGTCATAGCCATCATCACAACAGCCATCGTCACAACAGCCATCGTCATAGCCATCATCACAACAGCCATCGTCACAACAGCCATCGTCATAGCCATCGTCACAACAGCTATCGTCACAACAGCCATCGTCATAGCCATCATCACAACAGCCATCGTCACAACAGCCATCGTCATAGCCATCGTCACAACAGCCATCGTCACAACAGCCATCGTCACAACAGCCATTGTCATAGCCATCATCACAACAGCCATCGTCACAACAGCCATCGTCATAGCCATCGTCACAACAGCCATCGTCACAACAGCCATCGTCACAACAGCCATCGTCATAGCCATCATCACAACAGCCATCGTCACAACAGCCATCGTCATAGCCATCGTCACAACAGCCATCGTCACAACAGCCATCGTCACAACAGCCATTGTCATAGCCATCATCACAACAGCCATCGTCACAACAGCCATCGTCATAGCCATCGTCACAACAGCCATCGTCACAACAGCCATCGTCACAACAGCCATTGTCATAGCCATCATCACAACAGCCATCGTCACAACAGCCATCGTCATAGCCATCGTCACAACAGCCATCGTCACAAGAGCCATCGTCACAACAGCCATTGTCATAGCCATCATCACAACAGCCATCGTCACAACAGCCATCGTCATAGCCATCGTCACAACAGCCATCGTCACAACAGCCATCGTCACAACAGCCATTGTCATAGCCATCATCACAACAGCCATCGTCACAACAGCCATCGTCATAGCCATCGTCACAACAGCCATCGTCACAACAGCCATCGTCACAACAGCCATTGTCATAGCCATCATCACAACAGCCATCGTCACAACAGCCATCGTCACAACAGCCATCGTCACAACAGCCATCGTCACAACAGCCATCGTCACAACAGCCATCGTCACAACAGCCATCTTCATAGCCATCGTCACGGCCTTCATCACAATCATCGTCATAGCCATCATCACAACCATCGTCACAACAGCCACAGTCATAGCCATCGTCACTGCCACCATCACAGCCATCATGACAGTACGTGTGTGTACGTGTGTGGTGTACGTGTGTGTGTGTATCTGTGTACGTGTGTGTACGTGTGTATGTGTGCGTATCTGTGTACGTGCGTGTGCGTCCGTACGTGTGCGTCCGTACGTGTGTGTGTGTGTGTATGTGTGTACGTGTGTATCTGTGTATGTGTGTATCTGTGTATGTGTGTGTGTATCTCTGTACGTGTGTGTGTATCTGCGTACGTGTGTACGTGTGTGTGTGTATCTGTGTATGTGTGTGTGTATCTCTGTACGTGTGTGTGTATCTGCGTACGTGTGTACGTGTGTGTGTATCTGTGTATGTGTGTGTGTATCTCTGTACGTGTGTGTGTATCTGCGTACGTGTGTACGTGTGTGTGTGTATCTGTGTATGTGTGTGTGTATCTCTGTACGTGTGTGTGTATCTGTGTACGTGCGTGGCGTGTTTCCCGGCGCCAGGGGCCGGTTTGACGGGCGTGCCGTGGCGGTGAAGCGCCTGCTGCCCGAGTGCTTCAGCTTTGCGGAGCGCGAGGTGCGGCTGCTGCGCGAGTCAGATGAGCACGCGCACGTCATCCGCTACTTCTGCACGGAGCGCGACCGACAGTTCCAGTACATCGCCACCGAGCTGTGCGCCGCCACTCTGCGCGAGGTGGGGGGGGGGGTGTGCGGGGGGGGGGTGGGGGGGGGAGACGCTGGACTCGCCCCAACAGTCTGTTCAGGCTATACGGGCGAGCTTTGATGCTGTGTGTGATGCCGTGAGCGAATGTGTGACGCTGTGTGTTTGACGCTGTGTGTGTTGCTGTGTGTGTGACGCTGTGTGTGACGCTGTGTGCTGTGTGTGACGCTGTGTGTGTGCTACTGTGCATGGTGCTGCATGCTGTGTGTGATGCTGTGTGTGACGCTGTGTGCTGTGTGTGATGCTGTGTGTGTGCTGTGTGTGACGCTGTGTGTGCTGCTGTGTGTGTTGCTGTGTGTGACGCTGTGTGTGTGATGTTGTGTGTGACGCTGTGTGTGTGACGCTGTGTGTGTGACGCTGTGTGTGACACTGTGTGTGTGATGCTGTGTGACGCAGTATGTGCTGGACCCGGCCTTCGAGCGGCGAGGCCTCGACCCGGTCACGCTGCTGCAGCAGACGCTGTCCGGCCTGGCTCACCTCCACTCGCTCAACATCGGTACGGCCACACACCACACACCACACCATGCACCACACTCCACACCCCACCCCACACTCCACCCCACGACACACCCCACGGCACACCCCACGACACACCGTGCCAAGCTCACGCCACACCATGCCCAACACCCCACACCCCACGCCCCACCATGCACCACGCCCCATGCCACACACCGCTCACCGCACTGTCATGGCCAACTGCACCGCGCCACAAGGTGTGCTGCCATGTCACACTGCCGCGCATTGTCACAGGTCAGCCGCACCGCGTCACACCGCGTCACACCGCGTCACAGTGCCAGGCTGTAGGGGCGAGTGCCGTTCGTGAGTAGCACCACCTGTGAAGGCTGGCACGGCGCACGAGGGAGTGGGGGGCCAGCGCCACGCCCAATGACCGCCTTTGTCTCCCTTGGTGGCGATGTTTACTACACACTGTGCCAGGTACTCATTTGAGGCCTAGTTGACCTAGGGGAGGCCCAGAACCGTTTCAGGTAATCGTCACTGGTGTTGGCCGTGAGCGGGAACCGAACCCGGGCCGTGGGGTTTGTAGCGCAGCGTGGCGCTAACCGCTGCACCACCGCTCCCCATACACTCACGCTCGCCAATACCCGGCAAATTCGCCACTACGGGAGAGGTCACCACGGTGCCTGTGCCAGGCCAGGTGCACTTGGAAGTGTCGAAGGCTCCCTGCTGGCCGGATGCCACGGGACAGACCTAGGTGTCATGGGTTGACTCGCTGAGATGACTGGCAGATGCACTGCCTCTGTGCACCCTCCTAGCACCCTTACGAATACCCACACTGTGCCCCACCTCCCCTACTCCCCCCCCCCACCTAGTGCACAGGGACCTGAAGCCCCACAACATCCTGCTGTCGCTGCCCAGCGGCCACGGCCGCATCAAGGCCCTCATCTCCGACTTCGGCCTCTGCAAGAAGCTGTCGGCCGGCAGGCAGAGCTTCAGCCTGCGATCGGGGATTCCCGGCACGGAGGGGTGGATCGCGCCGGAGCTGCTCACGCAAGACTGCAGCCCGGTGCGTGGCACGCGGCAAACGCCAACAGCGACACACGCCAACACAGAGACAAACGCCAACACAACGACAAACACCAACACGGAGACAAACGCCAACACGGAGAGAAACCCTCCCAACCACCGCGACCTCCCACCCCCACCGCCACTCCCCTCACCGGCGTCGGCCTGTCCAAGCGACGGAGTGCGGTGTGAAGTCAAGGTCGCCGTTGGGGAGACAAAGGCGGCCGGGCGTGGTGCTGGCCACACTCACCGCCTCGTGTCCCACAGCGCCGGCCTGCGTAGGCGCTGCTACTCGTCAACAGCACTTTCCCCGACAGCCCGTTAAGGCTACACGGGGGATCTTTGTCTTTGCCACTGCTGCGACGCACTCCGCCTCTCTCACTCACCACACACTCCGTCTCTCACCCACTACTCGCTCACCACGCTCTCTCACTCACCACTCACTCACCACTCACTCACCACTCACTCACCACTCACCACTCACTCACCACTCACTCACCACCCCCCCTTCCCCTAGACATGTGCTGTAGACATCTTCTCCGCTGGCTGTGTGCTCTACTTCGTGCTCTCACTCACCACTCACTCACCACTCACTCACCACTCACTCACTCACCACTCACCACTCACTCACCACTCACTCACCACCCCCCCCCCCCCAGACATGTGCTGTAGACATCTTCTCCGCTGGCTGTGTGCTCTACTTCGTGCTCTCACTCACCACTCACTCACCACTCACTCACCACTCACCACTCACTCACCACTCACTCACCACTCACTCACTCACCACTCACTCACCACTCACTCACCACTCACTCACTCACCACTCACTCACCACCCCCCCTTCCCCTAGACATGTGCTGTAGACATCTTCTCCGCTGGCTGTGTGCTCTACTTCGTGCTCTCACTCACCACTCACTCACCACTCACTCACCACTCACTCACCACTCACTCACCACTCACTCACCACTCACTCACTCACCACTCACTCACCACTCACTCACCACTCACCACTCACTCACCACTCACTCACCACCCCCCCCCCCCCCCCCAGACATGTGCTGTAGACATCTTCTCCGCTGGCTGTGTGCTCTACTTCGTGCTCTCACTCACCACTCACTCACCACTCACTCACCACTCACTCACCACTCACTCACCACTCACTCACCACTCACTCACTCACCACTCACTCACCACTCACTCACCACTCACTCACTCACCACTCACTCACCACCCCCCCTTCCCCTAGACATGTGCTGTAGACATCTTCTCCGCTGGCTGTGTGCTCTACTTCGTGCTGTCGGGGGGCCGCCACCTCTTCGGGGACCGCCTGCACCGCCAGGCCAACATCCTCGCCGGCGTCTACAGCATGGAGCAGCTGGCGCCCGACGAACACGGTGAGCGCACGGCGCTGGCGCCGTCTTAACCGCGCGCCGGTGCCGTAATCACCCAGCGCCAGCTCCATATTCACCGCGTTCCGGCGCCGTCTTAACCGTGCGCCGGTGCCGTAATCACCCAGCGCCAGCGACGTATTCACCGCGTTCCGGCGCCGTCTTAACCGCGCGCCGGTGCCGTAATCACCCAGCGCCAGCGACGTATTCACGGGACGCCATTTATACAGTTGGGTGGCCGTGGCGACGGCGGCGGCGGCGTTGGTGGTGGAGGCGAGGGTTGGCGGGTCACGCGTGGATGGGGTGTGAAACACTCCCTCTCTTCTCGCCGCGGGTGGGTGTCGAGGAGCAGGAGCCGTGCCCCAGGCGGCGCACGGCAGGGCGTGTCGACTCGTCTCCGCGTGTTCCCATCCGTTAGGGGATCGAGCGTTTCCCCCTTCGCGCAAGGCGTGGGTTTCTCCCCCCACGTGAATAATGAAACATCTTGAAATAAAAGCGCAATGCAGCAGCAGCAGCAGCAGGACCCCTCTTGAACAAGTCATTATTATATTAAATATGTAACTGAATTAAAGATGTAATTAATAGTAGTTAAGTCACGTGGGTGGTGTGTGCATAACGAGTTTGCGACGCAGTGCGCGCCCCGCGTGTGCGTGACACGTGTACGCTCGTGTTTGACGCCTGCATGCGACGCGTGTTTGTGACGCCTGCGTGTGTGTGACGCGTGTGTGACGTGAGTGTGACGTGTGTGTGCGATGCGTGCGATGCGTGTGTGATGCGTGTGCGATGCGTGTGTGATGCATGTGCGATGTATGTGCGATGCGTGTGTGACGCATGTGTGACGTGCGTGTGCGATGCGTGCGACGCGTGTGCGATGCGTGTGTGATGCGTGTGCGATGTGTGTGTGCGACGCGTGTGCGACGCGTGTGCGACGCGTGTGTGATCCGTGTGCGATGCGTGTGTGTGATGCGTGTCCCAGACGGCGTCATCGCCCGCGCCCTCATCGGGTCGATGATCGCGGCTGTCCCCGCCCGGCGGCCGTGCGCCGCCCGCGCCCTCAAGCACCCCTTCTTCTGGAGCCGCGAGAAGCAGCTCCACTTCTTCCAGGTGGCGCCCCCACCCCCCCCACTCCGTCTCCCCCCTCCTCGCCTCGCCCCCCCCACTCCATCTCCCCCCTCCTCACCTCGCCCCCCTCCCCCACTCCGTCTCCCCCCCCCTCACCTCGCCCCCCCCCTCACCTCGCCCCCCCCACTCCGTCTCCCCCCTCCTCGCCTCGCCCCCCTCCCCCACTCCGTCTCCCCCCCCCTCACCTCGCCCCCCCCCCCTCACCTCGCCCCCCCCACTCCGTCTCCCCCCTCCTCACCTCGCCCCCCTCCCCCACTCCGTCTCCCCCCCCCTCACCTCGCCCCCCCCCCTCACCTCGCCCCCCCACTCCGTCTCCCCCCTCCTCACCTCGCCCCCCTCCCCCACTCCGTCTCCCCCCCCCCTCACCTCGCCCTCACTCTCACCTTCCCCCCCCTACTCCGTCTCCCCCCTCCCCCCTCACCTCGCCTCCCCCCCCCCCCCCCCCCCCCCCGTGCCGCGTGCAGGACGTGAGCGACCGGCTGGAGAAGGAGCCGCTGGAGTCCCCGGCGGTGCGGGCGCTGGAGAGGGGCGGCCGCGGCGTCGTGCACGACGACTGGCGCTCCCGCATCACGCCGCCGCTGCAGACCGGTGCGTGACGCCCCCACAGCCTCCAGCGGACCGCTCCGCTGGAGCCACGAGAGCCGCCGTTTTCTTACCTGGGTGTTGCGTCCCCGTGTCTCATAGCCCCGTATCTCTTAGCCCTGTGTCCCTTAGCCCTGTGTCCCCGTGTCTCACGTCCCCGTGTCTCACGTCTCCGTGTCTCATAGCTCCGTGTCCCTTAGCCCTGTGTCCCCGTGTCTCACGTCTCCGTGTCTCTTAGCCCTGTGTCCCTTAGCCCTGTGTCCCCGTGTCTCACGTCCCCGTGTCTCACGTCCCCGTGTCTCATAGCCCCGTGTCTCTTAGCCCCGTGTCCCCGTGTCTCATAGCCCCATGTCTCTTAGCCCTGTGTCCCCGTGTCCCACGTCCCCGTGTCTCACGTCCCCGTGTCTCATGTCCCCGTGTCTCATAGCCCTGTGTCCCCGTGTCTCACGTCCCCGTGTCTCATAGCCCCGTGTCTCATAGCCCTGTGTCCCCGTGTCTCACGTCCCCGTGTCTCACGTCCCCGTGTCTCATAGCCCCGTGTCTCTTAGCCCCGTGTCCCCGTGTCTCATAGCCCCATGTCTCTTAGCCCTGTGTCCCCGTGTCCCACGTCCCCGTGTCTCACGTCCCCGTGTCTCACGTCCCCGTGTCTCATGTCCCCGTGTCTCATAGCCCTGTGTCCCCGTGTCTCACGTCCCCGTGTCTCATAGCCCCGTGTCTCATAGCCCTGTGTCCCCGTGTCTCACGTCCCCGTGTCTCACGTCCCCGTGTCTCATAGCCCCGTGTCTCATAGCCCTGTGTCCCCGTGTCTCACGTCCCCGTGTCTCACGTCCCCGTGTCTCACGTCCCCGTGTCTCATAGCCCCGTGTCTCTTAGCCCCGTGTCCCCGTGTCTCATAGCCCCATGTCTCTTAGCCCTGTGTCCCCGTGTCCCACGTCCCCGTGTCTCATAGCCCCGTGTCTCATAGCCCTGTGTCCCTGTGTCTCACGTCCCCGTGTCTCACGTCCCCGTGTCTCATGTCCCCGTGTCTCACGTCCCCGTGTCTCATAGCCCCGTGTCTCATAGCCCTGTGTCCCCGTGTCTCACGTCCCCGTGTCTCACGTCCCCGTGTCTCATAGCCCCGTGTCCCCGTGTCTCACGTCCCCGTGTCTCACGTCCCCGTGTCTCACGTCCCCGTGTCTCACGTCCCCGTGTCCCCGCAGACCTGAGGAAGTTCCGGTCGTACCGCGGGAGCTCTGTGCGCGACCTTCTGCGCGCCATGCGCAACAAGGTGAGGCCTCACTCGGCCCGGGTCGCCACTCGCCACGGGAATGTGGAATTTCCCCACCGCTTGCTCGGGGCTCTGAGCAACCCCCCTCCCCCCCCCCATGCAACCCCCCTCCCCCCCCTCCCCCTCCCCATGCAATCCCCCCCACCCCCCCAGAGCCGCTGTTTGCTGCGTGTGTCCCTGGTCGTTGCGTCTCCGTGAGAAGCGGCGCTACCATCGCTCGCCCAAGCTCTGTGATCCCCTGTGTATAAGAGATGCTTGGCCAACGCATTTAGCGAGTGTTTGTTTATTCGTGTGGGAGGAGAGGACCTCGCGCTTGCCAGGGGAAGTTCCCCTCACTTCGGCCTCCCTTTCCATACAAATCTAAACTCGCCCCACTTGCCCCACCGCCATGATCTAGGAAACCGAGCGAACCTCCGATATCTGCGGCTGGGGGGGGGGGGGGGGGGGAGTTCTGCTGGGTGCGTGCGCGTGCTAGCGTGAGCCACCAACCCTAGCTGCTGCCTGCACGGGGGCTGGCCGACCGCGTGCAGCACAGCCACCAACTTCAGGTCGTTGTTGTTGCTGCTGCTGTTGCTGCTGTTGTTGTTGCTGCTGCTGTTGTTGCTGTTGTTGTTGTTGCTGCTGCTGTTGTTGCTGTTGCTGCTGTTGCTGCTGTTGTTGTTGTTGCTGCTGCTGTTGTTGTTGTTGTTGCTGCTGCTGTTGTTGCTGTTGCTGCTGTTGCTGCTGCTGTTGTTGTTGCTGCTGCTGTTGCTGCTGTTGTTGTTGTTGCTGCTGCTGTTGTTGCTGTTGTTGTTGTTGCTGCTGCTGTTGTTGCTGTTGCTGCTGTTGCTGCTGCTGTTGTTGTTGCTGCTGCTGTTGCTGCTGTTGTTGTTGTTGCTGCTGCTGTTGTTGCTGTTGCTGCTGTTGCTGCTGTTGCTGCTGTTGTTGTTGCTGCTGTTGCTGCTGTTGTTGCTGCTGCTGCTGCTGCTGTTGCCGCTGTAGAAGCACCACTATCGCGAGCTGCCGAGCGACGTGCAGCAGACGCTGGGCGCCGTGCCCGACGACTTTGTCTCCTACTTCACGTCGCGGTTCCCGCTCCTCCTGCTGCACACCTACACCGCCATGGCCGCCTGCGCACACGAGCGCCTCTTCCACGCCTACTACCACCACGAGGAGCACCGGCAGGACGCCGATGCCGCCGCCACCGGCACCACCGCCACCACAACCGCCGGCACCACCGCCGGGGCCCCCGGCACCACCGCTGTCGGCACCGCCGCCGCCGCCGCAACCGCCGGGGCCACCAATGCCACCAATGCCACCAATTCCACGGTGGCCCAAGCGCCACTGCTGGCGCCACCGACGGAGGCTTGAGCACCAGCGATGCGGGGAGAGCGGCTACAGCTGCTTGCTGCTGCATCTGCTGCTGCTGCATCTGCTGCTGCTGCATCTGCTGCTGCTGCTGCATCTGCTGCTGCTGCTGCATCTGCTGCTGCTGCTGCATCTGCTGCATCTGCTGCTGCTGCATCTGCTGCTGCTGCTGCATCTGCTGCTGCTGCATCTGCTGCTGCTGCTGCTGCTGCATCTGCATCATCTGCTGCATCTGCATCTGCTGCTGCATCCTGGGAGATGCAGCAGCTCTGGTTGGTGTCCCGAGCCTGGCATGGCCGGCGAAGGGTGCGGGCCAGCGGGGGAGGCGTGACGGGGAGAGAGCAGCTAATGGACAGATGGGGGAAGTGAGTGGACGGACAGACGGCAGCATGGACCCAGGCCGTGGCACTGGAGGCCTTGACCAGACTGCTGTGGGAAGTGGTGGGGCAGGGGTAGCAAGCCCACTCGCCCTGCCGCTCTTCCCCCAACAAACTTTGCCACACGACGATGAGGATGCTGAGAGGAGTGGACCCTGCAATACTTGTGGCCCAAAGTGCCTCCAATAAAGCTGGTGTGACTGGCTGCCCCTGCTGGGGTTGTGGGTGGGGTTTGTGGGTGGCCCCAGACTGCTGACAGTGAAGTGCTTATTTAAATGGTGATGGTGTTGGGAGCTCCCTTGTTATCTTTTTTTTTGAGATAATGAAATTGACCAAAGTTTTAAAAAGCAAAAAAAAACATTTTTACAGGATGCCACCGCCTCAATCTACTCGTGCAGATTTCGACGTGGTGGTGGTGCACGTTTGTGCGCATGCGTGTATTTAACTTGATTTGTACTTCTGAAACCACTGTAAATAAAACTCTGCTTTTGCCTTTAACAACACCCTCCAACTCATCTCCTGCCAAGTGAACAGCACTAGCCTGGAGGCCACGACACAGCCCAGCCTGCAGCACCACTGATGAGTCCCATGGTTCGCAATGTTTAATCCGTTCCACAAAAACTACCTTTACCCAAAAAAAACTTAATCGGGGAGCCGTTTCCACTTGCACAACAGACAATGTTCACAATGCTCCAGCTGAGGTCTTAAACGCTCAAATGGGCATCACAGATTGGGCCAGGGGCATGGACTTGGCCCTGCTCGCGAGCTCGGATTGACAGATTGGTGCACAGCATAAATACACCATCACTCAACACCCTGGGGTCCCCTATGGGAGGCAAAACGCCGTAAATTGGTGTCAGCCACTTAACCAACAGCCTACCGTAGTGTCTGTGGCATTGGCCAAGATGGTTATGAACTTGGGAAAAGAGAAGTGTGACTCCATTCTAGCCAAGGCTCAATGCCACCTTGCTCACCGCGAGCCAAGCTCAGGGTCATGGTCCCCAGCTACACACCCCTCCACCCCCTTTCAGGATCTTCCATTGAGGCCAAGCGGCTCAATCCCGAGTCGAGCTTGGAAAGAAGCAGCGCTTTGACAAGCCAGGCAGGACAAGGAAGTAGCTGCTCACGGGACTGGGATCACGACAACCCCCCCCCCCCCCCCCCATTAGACACGCGGAGAAATATCTCACCTCACATGGCCCCCGGGTAGAGAGTGAGTGGATTTATCCTGGGACTCCCCTTTCATTGTGTAAACATCAGCACGGTGGAGACAAAGGCAGGCTAGGTGCAGGTACTGGCCCACCCAACCCTCATGTTGCAGTGCCGGCTATAACAGAGTTCGCCCCAAGCCTGTTCAAGGTTATACGGGAGGCGCCTTTGTGAATGGATGAGTGGGGATCGAGTGAGCGAGCGACTGGATGGTTGCATGGGTGAGCAAGCGAGTGGGTGGGCGAGTGAGCGGGTGGGCAAGCGAGTGGGTGGGCGAGCGAGTGGGTGGGCGAGCGAGTGGGTGGGCGAATGGTTGCTTGGGCATGCGAGTGGGTGACTAGATTATTGCATGGACAGGTGAAATGCTGACCACACCGTGGTGCAGTGGAGATGGAGTGTCAGGTGGGTAAATCATAGGTACGTCCACCAGCCTCACAGCGTGTGGACATCGTGCAAGAGCGGACCACGTGGCTCCCGAGCAGAAGCCCTGGGTTCGGCCAGCAGTAGCGCCAGCTGACAGTTGCAAGCCTGCGCCTTTAAGTTGTGTTTTTTAACCGGCAAGAACAGACCCGGGGGCCAGAAAATGTAAACTCTTTTTATTAATAAATGTCCGCAAACGTGAAGACGGCGAGATCATTTTGAGAGCAAATTCGAGTGAAAGGGAAGATGGAGAGCAGCCGCAGCAGCTCAAACAGAGGGGCTGCTGGGGAGAAGTAAAAACAGCCACACGTGTACACTCGCACATGTACACGTCTCACACGCACACGCACGTGTACACACTCGCACACGCGTCTGTACAGCGCTCTCTCCGCAGCCCTATGTACAAAACCGCAAGGCTCACCGGTTGTGCCGTCACAGGCCCCAAAGCACCACCCTCCCCCTTCCCCAGCTCCCCACACCCGGGAAAGAGAGACACCCACCCGGCCTGCGCACAATTTTTTTAAAACGAGTGATAAAAGAGAAACTCTTTCGATGACAAAAAAAACGACAACTAAAACAAAACCAAACCCCCACGATCGCTACACGGGGGGGGTGGAGGTGTGTGTGTGTGTGGGGGGGTGTGCATGTTGGGGGGGGGCCGGGCCCCCCACTCTGACGAGTCTCCCGCACGGCGCATGGTGGACAAGGGCGAGGCGGGGGAGGGGTGGTGGCGGCGCTCCGGGTGACGACTTCTCCCGGCACCGCTCCATCCTCCCGAATGGCGATGCCCGACAGTGCAGCGCGGCAGGCGAACGAGCGGTGGTGGTGGGAGGGGGGCAACACACGTGGCTCAGGGAGCGGCGATCTTCCCGCGCACGGCGCCCGAGCGGCTGCTCAGCATCTTCTCGGCCATGGAGCGCGCGTAGCGCAGGCGGCTCATCAGGTCGGCGCTGCAGCCGTGCTCTGCGAGCAGCGCCAGCCGCAGCGTGCGCGCGTTGCGCTTCTCGTCGATGTACGTGACGGCGCCCATCAGCGGGCACAGCATGATCTTGGCGTGGTCCTGCGGTGGGTGGGTGGGGAGGGAGAGGGGGGGGGGTGGAAGGTTTGTTGGCGATGATACAAACGCAGCCCGCACGGAGACCCGCACCCCTCCGAGCGCTCGTTAACCCCTTTTCCCGTCAGAATGACGTTCGCGTGTAAACGCCATCGGTCTTCTGGTTCCGATGACGTGCATGCAACACCATCGGCACGGAAGAAAAACTAAAAATAAATTTAAAAAATCTGACACCGGAGCCACGAGCTCCGGTGTCGGAAAGGAGGGTTGGGGGGGGGATTCGAGGCCAGATGCCCCCCCCTCTCCACTGTCGTACAACACCTGAAACAAGTCACCAGGATGCAAGGGGGGGCAGGAGACCGAGGATAGGGGGGGGGGTGTAACCACTACAGACGGGGAAGCCAGATTCGGAGGGGCAGAATGTCAAAAATGCCCGTTCAGGCCGTCCCTTACCGCTCCATTTTATTTGCGTCAGCTGCGCATTTCGGCTGTAGCTCTCGGTCGCTCCTTCCCCCTTTGTGTGGACCCCCCCCCCCCATCCTCCCCCCGTGGATAGTTTGGGGGCTGCGAGCCTGCCCCCCCCAATCTTTAGGTCATCCCTGCTTTTCATAACAGGTTTGGCTTATTGGTTGACTGTGCGCGCGTCACAACGGGGTGAAAAAAAAAAAAATCGGGCCGCACATTTGCTTCGAAAAACTCATAATAAATACTACATTCATAAAAATGTAACATTTTTGTATTGAAATTTTTTTTGTGAAAATTCAACTAGATTATAATTATTGAAAATTAAATAAATACAAGTGAATAATAAGAAAAACATACAAAAATGGAATTCTAAAATAAATTAAAATATACAATAACACAATGCTGTAAAAATAAACAAAAATATCTCTACTAAAAAAAAACACTATCGCTACCGAGGCTCCTACGAGGCCATACGGGGAGGGCGAAAAACGCCGGCCCCCCATCCCCACCGCTCCCCCACCGCTCCCCCCCCGCCCCCCACCTTGAAGAAGTTGATCTGCAGCGTGCCGTTGGAGAGGTGCAGCACGATGGCGGAGCGCGTGCGGAACCACGTGCGCAGGTAGGGCAGGCGCGCCAGCTCGTCGCCCTCGCGCGTCGGGATGTTGGCGCCCGCCTTGAGCAGGTGCTCGCTCATGTAGCTGTGGAAGTACTTGGTGAGAGTCACCTGGCGACGCGGGGAGGGGGCGGAGACGAGGGGGGGGGGGGGGTCAGCGGCAGCAGGGAGACGTCCCTTCGAACCCGCCGCCCGACTTCTCAGGAGCGGGGAAGGAAGGGAGAGAAATAAGTATAACCCGTAAAAACAAAGTTTTTCACTATAAATCCTTTATATGCGTGGCGGCTAGAGTCCTCTCGTCCTCTGGCTTGAGATGGCTGCCACCTATGGGTCAGATGATTGCATTGCACCATTAGGCAATTGGTAATTAAATATATTTTTGTCCTAAAAAGTGTAAAATTTTGGAAAAAATATTTTCACGAACATTGTCACGCGCAACGAGTCTGTGTGGAAAATGTCAGCTCGATTGGATCACGGGAAGTGGGTTAAAAAACGACCGAAAGATTTGCACGGTCCTAAGCAAGCAAGCAAGCGAACTTAATATAAAGGATTTAAAAAGCTTCGTAAGCTCGTCGGATTCCGCCGGCCTCAAAAGAAAGATTCCCAGACGGATCCCGATGGGGCGAGGCGCACGCCAGGGTCGTGAAAGGCGACCCTCCAGGCACACACGGCCAACATCGACGGCACGTTGACGGAGACAAAGATTACCGCCCCCAGCCACCTTCGTTTTGCCGGTGCCGCCGTCAGGGGTCGTGGTGGTTCACACACCCAGAGCGGAGGGGGGGGGGGTAGATAGCCGGGGCGACGCTCACTTTCTTGGTGAGTGCCGTGGGGTACGAGTGCATGGAGAAGAACGACTCGGTGAGGTCGCGCTCGATGTACTGGATCTGCTCCCCGTCCGGGTAGAGCAGCATGCGCGTCGAGTCGTTGAACAGCACCCCCACGCTGTTGTCGCACAGCGTGTAGCCTGCAACACGCACACACACACACGCCACACACACACACGCCACACACAGTTAACACCGTCGCGGCGCTGGCGCTTCAACGAATGTTGAACTTCAACCGTGCTGCAATCGGAGGCCATCACGCGAGCGAGCGGAAGGGCTCGACGACGGGAGGTCCACGGCACGGACCCCCCAGGCCTCCTGTACCACATCACCCTCGCCTCACCTCTAGCCCGCGCCACTCACCCACCTCGCCCTCCACCTCACCTCTCGCCCATGCCACTCACCCACCTCGCCCTCCACCTCACCCATCACCTCACCTCTAGCCCGTGCCACTCACCCACCTCACCCATCACCTCACCCCTAGCCCATGCCATGCCCATTTAGCCCCCTCTATCCGACCAAAGAGACGATGCTTGGGAAGCATGCGGTGTGGCTGGGCGTGCAGGCTACGTCACTTGGCCAACACACACACCGCCACCACCACCACCGCCACCGCCACCACCACGCGGCGGCGATGTCACCACGGCGCTTGTGCCAGGCCGTGCGCACGTCAAGGCCAAGCGAAGTGTCGAACGCCCACTGGCAGGTCACGGGACAGACCCAGATGCCACGGGTCGACCGACCGAGATGACTGGCAAACACACACGCAGCACAACGACGTTTTCACCACGCGGCGCACCCCGTGGCGCACGCACATGGCCTGTAACCCCCCCCCCCCCCCCCCCACACACACACAGCCCGTACCCCCCCACGCACACATAGCCCGTACC